GTCTCATATGATAGCTTTATTTACACTGATTCCAAAAATATATGGTTTATATATACTTTTGCCTGTAAAAAGGGAGTTAATTGGCTACTTCTGGTTTAGAAAATGTCACTTTCGGTCTCATATGATAGCTTTATTTACACTGATTCCAAAAATATATGGTTTATATATACTTATGCCTGTAATAAGGGAGATAATATGCTATTTCCGGTTTATAAAATATCACTTCCGGTTTCAAATGATAGATTAATGTATGACCATTCAAAAAATATATGGTTTCTATGTACTTCTACATGAAATAAGTGCAAAAATGACTACTTCCGGTTTACTCAAGGTCACTTCCGGTTGACATTTTTCAAGGTCATAAGTCACCCAACATTTTGCAAAAGATCTTATGGCTTTATCATGTACCAATATGAAGTAATAATCAATTTACCTTAAAATAAAACATTTCAGGGGCAATAACTCCAATAAGATGTCGCTGGATTGTCTCAGACAAAATGTATCATATCTTCATCACAAAATAACAAACATTTTGCACTTGTTCTTTGATATATAACATAAAAAATATCGGAGAAAATGCAAAAACAAGCAAAAGACAAAATTCAGAACATGACCTTGACCTTTGACCTTGACCTCATTTTCGAAGTAAGGATCCAAGGACCTCAAATAAAAAGACTATAGGTTTATACGGCTTACAGTTTATGAGTAACAAAACCATAACGACAAATTTATTTCATAAAGGTAGATAACTCCAATAAAATTTCATCGAATCGCTTCGATCCAAATTAGCCAAAAATTCCTGAGGATGTAACGAACAATTTAGAAAAAGAATTTTGTCGATATCTTTTTTTGTTACGAAGGAGATGCACACACTTGATAAACAGTGAATAGGGAGATAACTCTTACAAAGATAATTGTCCGGCTTAGCACGGTGAAATTTAAAAGCGCATAAACTATACGATACAATATGAGAAATATCTAAGCGACATATTGCGAAACAAATATTTATCGCAAGAACAAAATTAGGCGGAAGAAAAAAAAAAAAAAAAAAAAAATAATAATAATAATAATAATAATAATCAGAACAAATACAATAGGTCTTTCCACAGAAAAGTGGAAAGACCTAATTAACAAGAGTGCACACGCTGAAATGTCTCGCCTTCTTTACTAATCATTGATATTATGTTGATAGTCCTAAATATAAAGCTTTATTACAACTGTCACATAAACTTAACATTAACCAAGTAAACTAAACATTGACCAATGAACCATGAAAATGAGGTCAAGGTCAGATGAACCATGCTAGGCAGGCATGCACAGCTAACAATTCTTCCATACAACAAATATAGTTGACCTATTGCTTATAGTTTAAGAAAAACAGACCAAAACACAAAAACTTAACACTGAGCAATGAACCTTGAAAATGAGGTCAAGGTCAAATAAAACCTGCATGAGTGACATATAGAACATAAAATATTTCCATACACCAAATATAATTGAACTTTTGCATATAGTATTAGAAAAAATTATCAAAACTCAAAAAATTAACTTTGACCACTGAACCATGAAAATGAGGTCAAGGTCAGATGACACCTGCCAGCTAGACATGTACACCTTACAATCATTCCATACACCAAATATAGTAGACCTATTGCATGCAGTATTAGAAAAAAAAGACCAAAACTCAAAAACTTAACTTTGACCACTGAACCATGGAAATGAGGTCAAGGTCAGATGACACCTGCCAGCTAGACATGTACACCTTACAATCATTCCATACACCAAATATCGTAGACCTATTGCATACAGTATAAGAAAAACAGACCAAAACACAAAAACTTAACTATAACCACTGAACCATGAAAATGAGGTCAAGGTCAGATGGCACCTGCCAGTTGGACATGTACACCTTACAGTCCTTCCATACACCGAATATACTAGACCTATTGCTTATAGTATCTGAGATATGGACTTGACCACGAAAACTTAACCTTGTTCACTGATCCATGACATGAGGTCGAGGTCAAGTGAAAACTGTCTGACGGGCATGAGGACCTTGCAAGGTACGCACATACCAAATATAGTTATCCTATTACTTATAATAAGAGAGAATTTAACATTACAAAAAATCTTAACTTTTTTTTCAAGTAGTCACTGAACCATGAAAATGAGGTCAAGGACATTGGACATGTGACTGACGGAAACTTCGTAACATGAGGCACCCATATACAAAGTATGAAGCATCCAGATCTTCTACCTTCTAAAATATAAAGCTTTTAAGAAGTTAGCTAACGCCGCCGCCGCCGCCGCCGCCGCCGGATCACTATCCCTATGTCGAGCTTTCTGCGACAAAAGTCGCAGGCTCGACAAAAACCAATTGTTCAAAGAACAATTGAAGGTCTTTCCACATCAATTTTCTAAATAATTGATAGAAAGCTACTTCTGGTTTACTCAAAGTTATTAATAGCGTCAAAGTATAGATTTCTTCATACTGATTCGATAAATGAATAGTTTCTATATACTTTTGCCTGAAATAAGGGAGATAATTGCCAACTTCCGGTTTAGAAAATGTCACTTCCGGTCTCATATGATAGTTTTATTCACACTGATTCCAAAAATATATAGTTTGTATATAGTTAGGCCTGTAATAAGTAAGATAATATGCTACTTCCGGTTTATAAAATGTCACTTCTGGTCTCAAATGATAGGTTAACCTATGATCATTCAAAAAATATATGGTTTCTAGGTACTTTTCCATGAAATAAGTGCAAAAAATACTACTTCCGGTTCACTCAAGGTCACGTCCGGTTTACTTTTTTCAAGGTCATATGTCAACCAACAGTTTGCAATAGACCCTATGGCTTTATCATGTACCAAGTTGGAGTAATAATCAATTAACCTTAAATTGAATCATTTCAGGGACAATAACTCCTATGAGATATCATTTGATTGTTTCAGACCAAATGTATCATATCTTAATCACAATTAAACAAACATTTTGCACTAGTTCTTTAATTTGTAATTTTAAAAGTGACAGAGGAGATCAAATAACAAGGAAAAGTCAAAATTTAGAATATGACCTTGACCTTTGACCTTGGCCTCAATTTCATTTAAATGAACCAAGGAACTCAAATCAATATACCTTAGGTCTCTATCACTTACCATTCATGCTATACATTTATATATCCCTTATGTCAAATACCGAAGGGGAAATAACTCTCATATGGAGTTTACGTATCGCTTCGGTCAAAATTGGACAAAACATCCTGAGGATATAACGAGCAATTTGGTAAAATAAATTTGTCGCTTTCTTTTTTGGTTACGGAGGAGATGCACGCACAAGGAAAACAGTGTTCGGGGAGATAACTCCTACAAAGAAAAGTATTCGGTTAAGCAGGGTCAATTTCAAAGGCGCATAAAATGTTCGATATCATATACGAAATATCTAAGCGACATCTTGATAAAACAAAAATTTATCGCAAAAACAAAATTTGGCGGAAGAAAAAAAAAAAAAAAAAAATAATCAGAAGAAAACCAATAGGTCTTTCCACAGAAAAGTGGAAAGACCTAATAATAATAATAATAAGAAACGGGACAAAAACATAAAGTCCCCAAAACTCCGTTTTGGCGACTTATTAATAATAAGAAACGGGACAAAAACATAAAGTCCCCAAAACTCCGTTTTGGCGACTTAAAAATAATAATAATAAGAAACGGGACAAAAACATAAAGTCCCCAAAACTCCGTTTTGGCGACTTAAAAAGAAACGTAGAATAACAATACGTCACACCCATCCCACATTGCCACTGAACTGCAGGCACTTTGAAAATTCCAAAATCAAATATCATTTCCTGACATGCCAGGTATCATTCTAGCAAATTTTAAGAAAATTTGGAGTATTTTAATTTTTTTATTATTTTTGTTGTTTCCATGGTAACGAGGAGCATTTCCAAAATTCCAAAGACAGATGAGGCATTGACATATGCCAAGGTACATATCCACAAAGTTATATTGGGTTTCATTGAAAATTCTAAATGAAAATACAGCTTTTATGTGTTTTCCCGTAGGGTCAATGTTAAACGTTTCCCCTGTTTCCATGGCAATGGCAGCCATTTTGGAATTTATAAGTACTGTTGGTACCTCGGGGCACCACCACCAACATTTGCACAAAGTTTCATTATGTTGGCTCTTATAACGAAAGAGTTAGAATTTTGATTTTTTTTTACATTTTTTTAGTTTCCATGGTAACCGTGGCCATCTTGCACATTCCAAAGTCAGGTGCACAACTTCACATGGTGGTCAACATTATAGCATAGTTCCATCAAGATTGGTCCATCCAATTCCGAGAACTGCCGTGGACAAAAAGTGTGGAAGAATAAAAATAATAAGAAAAAAAGAAACGAACAATAACAATATGTCACCCCAACTCCGTTGAGGGTGCCATAATAAAGAAACAGAGGAAAAGCAATATGTCACCCGACATTGTCGATCGGGTGACATAATAAGGAAAAAAAGAAACGTAGAATAACAATACGTCACCCCAACTCCGTTGAGGGTGCCATAATAATAATAAAAAAAAAGAATGGAACAATAACAATATGTTACCCGACCTCAGTCAGGGTTACATAATAAGAAAAAAAAGAAACGTAGAATAACAATATGTCACCCTAACTCCGTTGAGGGTGCCATAATAACAAAGAAACAGAGGAAAAGCAAAATGTCACCCGACATTGTCGACCGGATGACATAATAAGAAAAAAAAACGTAGAATAACAATATGTCACCCGAACTCCGTTGAGGGTGCCATAATAAAAAGATTTAAATATAGTGTTAACGTTCCAGTTGAAACGATTATAAACCGTTAATGTTATTATACCAGTTATTTACCTACATCATTTGTTTTGTCAAGATTTTTCTAGTATTAGAATTAAAGAACAACATTAATGCGTTTAAAATGAAAATAGCACTTTATAAATTATCATTTTAATAAAAGCACACACCTCTTGCAATGTTCGTCTCCTACAATAGATGGCTGTCAATATCAATAGAACAATTGCTAAAAGTCCACCTGCACACACTCCAATAACTGTATACAACGTTTCTGAGGTAATTTCCATTGATAATTGATCTGTCTCTCTTTCTTCGCCAGAACCAAGGTCCATATTATCTTAAAAAAAAAAACAGGCGGCAACTATTTCAAATGATAATCATGATTTATACGATCAATATAAATGATATTCTTAGTGACTAGACCAATTAGGGCTATTGGCAAAACAAAAATAAATTGACTATTTCATACTACGACTAATTATAGTGAATAACTCTACCTGGACATTGCCTTTTTTAATAACTCTTAGGAAATTCCATTCCTTTTCTGTTTGTTGTGTGTTTGCAACATTTTTATTTCTATACAGTCCAACCCATTTCGTCTCTGTTGTAACGCGTCTTTGTTAATAACCATGTAATAAAAAGTCATCTAAGATAAACATCTAAACGTGTTTTCGGGGACTAGGTCCATTGATAAACATTACATTATTTAAATTGACACGAAAAGATATTTGTCTAAAGTTATAATTTCTTCACAAAAAGTAAGATTTTAAACCCCTCCCCCCTTCTCAAATTTTCACAAAAGTTATATGCACAGCTACATTTGAAGCCCCTCGATTGTTTATAATAGTATTCCATGGCCAGTTCTTCTCATAATTTTGGAGATTTTGCGATCAGAAAAAGTTTATTTCACCATTTGTAATTAAAAAAAAAACACACAGTTTTTTACTTCATAAATTTTCCAGTTTTCTCAAAATAATTGCACATAATGTTTAGCACCGGGAATCAATTTGGAATAGTATAGTTTATCATTCCCTTTTTATTAACTTTTGTTAAAATTGTAGTACAAAGATATGCTTAAAAAGTTATTTGTTAACAAAACACAGCTACATATGAAGCACAACAACTTTATAAGTTGTGTTCTAGTCTATTCAGACTTTTGAAGATTTTGCATTCACGTAATTCTCCAAATTCGTAATTTTTTTATAAGAAATAAGTTTTTTTTTTCAAACATTACTTTTCCAATTCTGTTTAAAAATAATAATATGCATTGATATATGATACACAATAATTGCACAAAATTACACAAGACATGGAGAATACAAAGGGCACCAGAAAACTCGATGAGGGACCCTTATGATATCAGTTGGCCGATGCTTTTTTTTTCAAATCCGTATATACCGATTGGTGTAGGTATTATCTGAGAAGCATGTGTGTTTGGTGACCAGGCATTTTGACTGATCCGTTAAGTTATGATAAGTTTTATGAGTAAACTAGTCTGGATTTGGAACTGCTGTTGAATCTTAGTTGTTAAGTGTTCAATCAGTTTGCTTGAAAAATCAATTAATAAAGTTAAATGAGAACTTAGATCATGTAAGTTAGTTTCTGTACAGGTAATGAACTCATCCATCTGCATTTTGAAATGTGTTTGCATAATGTGCCTGTTTTACATACAGACAACCTCCCAGTGATGGCTGTTATATTATGAAATTTTTTCTTTTGAATCGAAATATACAAAAAGAACATGTGGTAAAATTGCCAATAAGACAACTATACACCAGGGACCAAATGACGTAGATGTGAGCAAAAATGGGCAACAAAATGACCTACAATTATAATGAGCAAACATGTACAGTATAGTAAGCTATAACGGTTGCACTTTGTAAAAAAACCATGCCTCTTTTGGGGATATATAATATTCATAGATGTTTTGTTTTGTTTACCTACTGGTTCCCGGATATGATCTCTATGTTTCATCTCGTGGAGACATAAATTGGGAATGTTACCAGTATAAATACACATGGATAGCGGCGTAATTGAATTTTGTGAAAGACCCAAAGTGAAGGGAGGGGTAGTACAGAATGTTAGTACAAGTATGAACTCTTAGAAGTTCGAGGCATATAAATGTTGAAAATATGCCGCATAGCCCTATATTTTGACCTTTGAAAAAAATAGTAGTGGATATGAACTTTCCATTCTAGGATATATTTTTTTACGAAACTTCATAGTAAAAGTGGCACAGTTTTATCCGTTAAAGGAGTTCCTATGGGACATTGCATTGTCTATATTTACAAAAGTGCAACCTATAAGGCCCAAACATGACAAAATGTAAAACAATTTACACGACAAACCAACGGTCTGATTGCATACTCTAATGACAATATGTATGTTTACTCGATCGCTGCGCATGGAAGTATTTTATTTGAAAACTTATTTTGTTATAGGGGTTGACACGAAACACATACAGTCTATGGAAAGTGCGAATCGAAAAAAAAAAACGTTTTTTATGTGAAGTAGCGATATTTTCTAATATGAAATGTAAATATGCAGACACTTCACGAGAAAAAAGTTATTTTCGGCTATGAAAAATGTTTAATATTTAAAGATATCAATAGATGAGGTCCGGAATGACTTAACACGACAAACAGGAGAGTTTTATGTATAATTATAAATCAATATAAAGTCTGAAATTGATAATTACCTATATTTCAAGGTCGTTTTAAGGAAAAAAATCAAGTGCATATGTAAAACAAATAACAAGGCTAGATATCTTTATGGATATATCAACTGTCAACATAAATACAAACCGAAATTAAGTCCTGAAATATGTTCAATAGTAAAATAATAGCAAAAGTTTATGTCCGTGGGAAAAATTGTAGTGCTATGTTTTTCCTATGTAAATAAATGATTTAATGTAATTACACTTATTTTTCTATTGTAACTACAACTATAAATGAAGACAATTTCGTTTTTCGTTTTTTGTTTTTGATATCTTAAAACCAAAAACGAATGGACGCAAATGTAAACGGACCAATTTATCCATGATGCCTTTATTTCTTCAACATGACTTTCAATATCAATCACATTATGCCCCAATTTTCATAACTACCAGCCATCACATTTCTTTTAATTTGTTCCGGTTTGTCATTCCAGATATATTTATGACATTTACTTTCTAATTTTTGTAAATTTTTCAGGAAGTACACATATGCTAGCTAACAGGTTGGTTAGTTATATAATAAAAGATTTGATAATTAATCTTTTTCATGACATAGTGAGATTTTTTTTTTTTTTTCAAAGAAATAACAGTTTATCCATTTTTTCAATCTTATTTTCAACATTTAATCTCTCACATTCTCCTTTGTATTATCCAAAATAAATTCCAAAAGCTTTCACAGGTTTATCAAGTAAGATCAAAACGTTTGATTTATTTGAGCTTTACCCTTCTATTTCCCATGCTCAATTGAAAGATCGAATACATCGTCTCAATGAACAGAGCTTTTTCTACAAAAATTGAAATCGTAAATATACAAATTTCTTGTTTAAGGTCATGGAAAATCTTGTTTTTGAAGAACCGCACTGATTTCAAAAACTTATACACCGCGAGATCGATCTCATTGGACTTATATCGACAAAATTTTTCTTGGGCTAATGGGATTGATTCTTCTGTGGGTTGCGCATCCTACTTGCCGACTAATATTTGTAGTCATAAGAAGAAAAATTCATACAAAACCTTCTCAAAGACATAAAGAAAAAAAGTCTTGCAAAAATGTTTTAATTTCACTTTAAGGGGTACCCAACACTTGGACTAAAACAGATTTGGCTCGTTTAATTTTCATAAAATTTTGACAAAATATTAACTTTGACCTGTTTACAAAAATATAAATATATAAAGAAATTTGAACTACAGAATCTACAGGAGAAATTTCATTGGATTTATAGCAGTTTGACAAATTTTGATCATTGAGAAGCTTGATTTCTCTTTACTAATAGTATGTGATTAAAACGTTCAGCTGAGTTTTAAAGAGTTAACTCCCTTAGGTGTTTGTACCCCTTTATATATATAGTTGATGTCCTGTCAGCCAAAAACCCACATTTCAGTGAGTGCTTCAATCTCATATATCACAGTTAACTTAAGATTAAGAACACAATCGAAGGTGCTAGACATTAGAAGGTCTGCTTCATTTCTTAACCTTTTCCTCGATATTGACACAGATCGACGAAATTAAAATAAAAACTGTAACAGATGTGATGATTTCAACTTCCCATTTCTCAGCAGTAACAATACTCTCTGTCCCATTGTATGGCGTTTACATACATGTATCTCAATTGCTATGTTACGATACTGATTAATACTTTAATCTGGGAAAACATGATTTATTTATTAGTTGAAATTGGCTTTGAACTAGCTTTCAGTAACTGCAAGTACTATTATATCGGTGATTTGTGTCAATTCTTTTTATGATAGTTGTTTTTGTGCTTCGTACCGATCTTTTGAGTCAGGTAAATAGCAACTGAATTTCACATTTTGTTCTTATGTTGTGCTGTGACATCACAGTCCAGGGTAGGTGGTTGAGCGCTCACAAACATGTTTAAAAAAAACTTATTAAAGATACAGGCTTATAATTTTGTACGCCAGATGCGCGTATCGTCTACATAAAACCCCACCAGTGACGCTCGAATCTAATAAGTTAAAAGGCCAAATCAAGTATGAAGTTGAAGAGCATTGAGGTCCTAAATTTCGAAAGGTTTTGCCAAATACAGCTACGGTTATCACTTAACTTCTCCCCTTTCTATTATCAGCACGTCATAAGACAATGTCAATGACGACGTCGTCAAGGACATTTGCCTGAGGATAGACAGAAGGCATGAAAACATTAGCGAACTTTTATAGTGTTTTATTGATAAATATGATTAACAGTTTGTCAAACCGGCTCCAAAAATCCAGTATCGCTCACCTAAGTCTATGTACATCTTTATCAATATTTTAGACTAGAATATTATTCAGGACTAAATCTCTTTTTGGTTGAAGCTGTATTGTTGAATTTTTTTTCTGTTTACAGTTTCTATCTTTTACAGTCCCCAAAACACAAAAAGTGTGAAAATCGTCTTTTTAGGACAATTACCTCTATAAGAAAACAACTCACATATTCCTCTACATATTAGCTGACCTATTTGCAGATCTTGTCTTGCTGATCACTTTTGAAATTCAAAAGTTTCTATCTATTATTGTTTTCAAGTAAATAGGCAAAAACGAAAAGAATGGTAAAAAAAAATCGCCATTTAAGGGGGATAACTCCCATAAGGAGTCAACTGATGATTTCCGCAATTTGACTTATT